GCTGCCTTCGCCCGCGCGTCCGGGGCCGACGCCCCCTCCATGCCCTCGGCCGAGCCGGCTCTGCTCCAGAGACGAGGTCTCCCATCTCCTCAGGCGCCCTCGGGGCCTCCAGGCCTGGGGGCAGGAAACGGTTCTCTGAGGCACACACCCTCCTCTCCCACCCTCCTCCTGAGCTGAGGGTGCGCAGTCCCCTTACCCTCAACCAAAAAAAAAAAAAAAGAGCTGGAGAAGGCTGATGGGGCTCCTCAAACGCTGTCCTGTCCACTCCTAAAGCAGTTCTTGCTTGGGGTCACCTCCCACCTGGTGGCAGCCAGGGAAAGGGGAAAGAAGAGGGCACTGGAAATGACGGCCAACCCCTGAGGGGCAGGAGGAAGGAGCCACAAAGCCCTAGCTCTGGGCCAGGAGCTGAGGGGGCTGCCAGAACCAGACTGGGTCAGGGCCTTGGGTGCCGCCAGCCTCCTCCCCACTGGGCTTCCACAGAACTGGGACTCTAACCTCAGGGGCCACCCCATCCTTCCACTCTGCTCCTCCCCCCAGATCAAAGGGCACCCTCCACGGTTGGTGGGGCCTGGCTGAGTGCCTCCAGCACCCTTTGTGCCAGCACAGGCAATCCCAGGAGGGGCAGCAAGGTCAGACCATTTATCATTTAAAGCCGTGGCCAGGGCACAGGGCTGTGATCTGAAGGAGTGACAGGTATGTCACAACACTGCCTAATGCTCACCCTCTCAATGCTGGGACCCTCCCCCCACTCCCAGTAGCAGCCAAACCAGCAATATCCGATAGACACAGGCCCCCTGGGGGACAGTGTGGGCACCCAGATAGAAAATGGATATCCCCACACCTGCAGTAAAGCGTCCCAAAACCAAATGCCCCATTGCATCCTGTCTGCCGCTGGGACCGTCAGAGGGTAATCACTGGGCAGATAGCAAAGTGGTATCATCCCGGGGTGGCTGATGTGGCCATGCCTTGGTATTACCACTCATGTGACATAGCTACCCTTGCACAGCTGGGACAAAAAATGTCAGGGCCAGAGTCATTAAGGTGTAGTACCACTTGATCAGCTTCTCCAGAAGGTCCTGGCCCCGGGTCTTGTGGGGGGGGGGTCTCATGAGTACAGAGGTCAATATCTCTACCCCCCCTTATCCCTGAGTACCAGAAGGGGCTTTGCAACCTATGTCCCCAGGAATGGCCTTCCCCTTGCTGCCCAGGTCATACTTCCGGAAGGGAGAGGCCACTCATTCCACAGGGATTTCCCAACCACTCTACTCTGAAAGTAACTGGCCCAGTATCTAACTGGGTTTAGGTCCAAGGGAGGAGTCAAATGGGGTGGGGGGCAGTAGGCATTCTCCCCCACGGAAAGCAAAGGTCCCCAGTTTCCATCACCTTCCCCGTGGGAAGGACCTTAGTTGCATGGAGATGAGAAGTGGGTAAGGTTCAGGCATGGGGGCAGACATCCAGAATGAGCCCCCCCAGGAACCCTGAGTGCTGACCAGTGCCAGCAGAAATCACTTCTCCCCTGTGGTCCTGACACATCAGGGTAACACCAACTACAGCAGGCAGGAGCCACAGAAAGGAAGACATCATCTAATGGAGCCTGATATTTGCAGGTCAGATGTTCCCACCCCACCCTGATTGATGGCCATGGTCTTCATTTGGCCTCAGTGCATATGACCCTATACAGGGAATCTAGTGTGTATCACTCACCACCCTCTTTCTGTGTCTGGGGAAACCAAGGCAGTGAAGTGACTTCACTCACCTAGCAATAAAGTAGGCCTTTGGTGCCCTTGAGGGCACGTTCTTCTCTGAGGCAGAGAGCAGTTTCCTTGCCGAATGGCAGATGGTGGCAAGCATCTCCCTCACCTGTTTCCCTGGGCCAGTCTTTAGGGAGCCAAGGGACAAGGGCCCACCCTCCCCCTCCATGTGTGCCAAATCAGCACCTGAAGTGAGGCATTTCCAGCAAGCACCTCCACAGACACAAGAAAGGGCTCCAGCGGAAGAGCTAGCATCTCACCACCCCAGGTCCCCCGGCCTGGTCCAGGGCAGCCAGCTGCATGTGACCATCTGTTTCCAGCTCCCCCGACATCCCTCCTGTCACCCAGGCCCCAAGACATTCGACCAACTGGACTAAAACTGCAGGCACCCAGCTTTGGGAGACCCTGCGCCACATCAGGGCTGAGCTCTCCTAGTGCCCTGGCAGTCTTTTTTTCCTATCCTTATTCTACTTTGCAGTCTTTTCTTTGACAGATTCCCAAACTAGGCTGACACAGCTCCAGTGCACACCAGCATACCAGGCTTCCTCCCCAGGGCAGTTTAGAGGAAGCTCCTTCTGGGCACGGTCAGGCAGTCCTCCTTCCCTCTCCTTCCCCCTCCTTCTCCCTTGTCCTGGCCTCAGCTGACTCTGGCCGTGGAAGGTGTGGAGGGCCCTTGGGCTTCCCTCCCCAACCCGGCCTCCACTAGCGCCACTAACACGAGGCCTGTGGAAGGCTCAGCCTCTCCTCCACACCCCTTCTCCTTCCTGCCGTTCGGAGGCAACCAGGGTCCTCGAGGCTGGCCCTGAATCTCATTCCTCCCTTCATGGGAGGGGGCAGGAATCCAGAGGAGGACGAAGCCAGCGGGACCACATGGCTTGGTGGCTTGGACAAACAAGCTCAGGGAGGAAATGAGGAGGCGGCGGCTGCAGAGGAATGCAACTGTTGGGCACAGACCATGCAATCTGGGGCTGGCCCTGGGGCCCGCTGGGCCCTGCCCTCCACCTGCTCAACCGTGCTTCCACCAACCAGAGGAAACCCAGTTACTAGTTTTTCTAATAAATCAATAATGCTCCATATTTCTCTCAGTTTCTTGTTTGACTAGCCTCCTCTCCCTCTGAACAGGGTCTCAGAGGGCTGGCACCATGGAGACAGAGGGACAGCCAGACTCTTTAGCTTGTCCCTGGGAGCCTTATGGGATGACTGCAAGTACCTGGGTCCCGTGCTTCACCGCAAAGCCTGAAAAAAGCTTGCTCATTTTTGCACTTGAAGGCTTGCTGTAGGGCAAAATCATTTCCAAGCGATGATCAGCCCAAGCCCTTCCCCGCAGCGCTCAGGACAGGTCTCAGCACTCGCGGGACCACAGAATCCCCAGAATCTCTAAGGCTGGGATTCGCCTCCAGAGGGCAGCTTCACTTGCTCTAGGGGGATGGAATGTAAGCACTGCCAGTTTCCAAAAGGCTCCCCAGATGATTCCAATGGGCAGCCAGTGAGAACCACTGAACTGGTGCTAGGTTCCCAGACACACCTAGATGGCTATGTAAGGCCTGACTGGGGAAGGGGTTAACTGCAACTTCCTGGGCCCCACGCTCTGAAGAGCCCCAGTTGGAATTTTGGGAAACAGCAAATCATCCATCTTTTTCAATTTACAGGTAAGGAAAAAGCAAGAGCTTAGGAAAAACCCAGCTAGCTAATGGCAAGGCTAGGATAAGACTCTGGGTCTCAACCAGGTGCTGTGGCTCACACCTGTAATCCCAGCACTTTTAGAGGCCAAGGCAGGCAGATCACAATCAGGAGTTCGAGATCAGCCTGGCCAACATGGCGAAACCCCATCTCTACTAATACGAAAATTAGCAGGGCATGGTGATGCATGCCTATAGTCCCAGCTACTCAGGAGGCTGAGGCAGGAGAATTGCTTGAACCCAGGAGGCAGAGGTTACAGTGAGCCAAGATCATGCCATTGCATTCCAGTCTGGGGCAACAGAACAAGACTCCATTTCAGGGGGAGAAAAAAAAGAATCTGGGTCCCCTGAACCTCACACTGTCCAGTGTGCTTGTGGCTACTCAGCATCGTATCCTGAGACCGGCCTGGCAGGAGCCAGTGACTGTGGAAATGACCACAGGAGATTCAGGGCAGTTGGGAGATCTTCCCTTGACCTTGTAAGACTCAAGGGACCCGTCTTCAGGTTGGGTCAGAAGGCCCACAGGAAGGGCTCTGACCCAGCAGCCCTGCGTGAACACTTGTTAGGCAGCTCTACCACCCAGGCCCTGCAGCCTCCATCTCCCAGGCCCCAGCCAGAACAAATCGAGCAAAACAAGGCTGGACCTCTGTGGAGAAAGGGCAGAAAACCCAACTGAAATAGGGAGGCATTCCTAACTCTTCTGAATTAGAGACACTTCTGAGAATGCAATAAAAAGAGAGGAATAAAAATGCATTTGTATTCCTCAACCAACGCTACAGACACCTTTAGGACATTTCTAATCTCCAAGTTTAGAAACCTTGCCTTCGGCCAGGCACGGTGGCTCACACCTGGAATCCCAACACTTTGGGAGGCCGAGGTGGGAGGATCACTTGAAGTCAGGAGTTCGAGACCAGTCTGGTCAACATGGTGAAACCCTGTCTCTACTAAAAATACAAAAAATTAGCCGGGCATGGCGGTACATGCCTGTAATCCCAACTACTCAGGTGGCTGAGGTAGCAGAATCGCTTGAACCCAGGAAGCGGAGGTTGCAATGAGCCAAGATGGCACCATTGCACTCCAGCCTGGGCAACAAGAGTAAAACTCTGTCTCAAAAAAAAAAAAAAAAAATATCCTTCCCTTCTAGGATGTTTCCTGGAAACTGGAGAGAGTTCCATATAGGGTTCCATATATGGCACCCACCAGATACTGGGAATGTCTGGATAGAAAAACAGTCTATCCACCTCACCACCTCCCTTTTTTAAGTCCAACTCTGGCCCTTGGGGAAAAGAGTAAAAGGCTGGCATGTGGGACCCCCTACCTCAGACAGGATAGCAGGCTGCTGCTAAACAGAGAAGCCCATGGGAGTCTAAGTGGCAGAGAGTAAGCTCCCACCCTCACATCCTCCTGTCCCACGTCCCTCACCACTACCAGGGTGCCCCATGTTTCATGAGCCCGGGTGACCAATGAGTGTGGAAGGAACGACTTCCAAGTCTTCATCTCCCTAAGACTTCCCTGGCCCACGAATAGCCTTCCCTACCCCAGCCAGGCCCAGGAAGCAGTTCACACAGAGTGGGTTGGTCAGCAGTGGTTATTGCACCATTGGCGAATAATGAAATGTGTGTAGATCAGCGACAATCACAGGGTCAGCGCAACAACCCTCAAAAGTACCTGAACTGAATCCATTTCATTCTTGGCAGGAGGGGAATAAACAGGGGCCACACACTCACGCACACGCACATCATACCATGGAATGGAAAGCAATAAATTATCGGCTTCATTCCTGCCTGGACCCTAAGAAAAGGTACAGTTACAGAGCAAAGCCTCTCCAGGCCACTGCCCGAGTCTCCCCGGGGGTGGGCTCCTCTGTCTGGCCATGGCTATGGCCAGTCAACGCTGGAGGCCTGAGCATAGCTTGCTCTCTCTGGGAAGAGGTGAGCTTAAACATTTGGCTTCTTACTAGAGAAGAACTATTTACAAGGGAAGTGGCCACACCAGCCTCACAGGTGAGTGGCTCATCTGGGCCTATGGAAGGTTGCCCCGAGCCCCAGGGAGCACCAGTGTGTGGCATAGGCGGGAGAGCCCCTGCACATGGGAGCATCCTTTCCAGAGGGCACAGGGGACAGCCTTTCCACTCGCCCAAGGGTCTTGGGCAGGGGCTCCATGAGCCCAGGCTCAACGGGAAGGATGCCCAGGTTCTTCTTCATCCTCCAACGTGACTCCTCCCTCCCCCAGGAGTCAGCGTCAACCTACAGAGTTCAAGGCCTGGAATTTCTCTCTGAGGTTTCTCACTCTGCCCTGCTGGCTTGGGTCTGCCGGGTCCCTGGGACCTTCTTCTTTCGGCCGACACTCTGCAGACTCTTGGAAGTCCTGGCCCTGCCCTACCAGGGCCACCAGCGAGTTTGGTCCCTGGCTACTGCTCTCCTCCAGCCCCGCAGTGGGGCCAGGAAGAGGTCCCTTCTCCATGACAATCACCCGCCAGTTGTCCTCCAAGGTGAGGTCTGCAGTGACATACAGGGCCTCGTCTCCGTCCAGATTGCTCTGGGGCAGAGGCCCAGGTGACTGTGTGGCCTCTCCGCCTCCCCGGCCCCTCTTGGTACTCAGGCTGCAGCAGCGGCCCACCTTGCCCGACAGAGGCGGCTCCACCATGTTCTCTGGCACTGAGCGGCTCCTATTGACAGGTGGGCCTCGGGGCCGGCCACCCCCTGCTTGGCGTGCCTCATCGTGCGAGGCATACTTGGAGCGGAGCTCGCGTACGTCAGGCCAGCTGAAGGTCTCCGTGTCGAAGGGGCTGAGGGGGCTTCGGGCAGACGGCCGGCCCCCAGGCGAGGTGGTCCTCTGGCTGACGGCAGAGGGGCTGAAGGAGAAACGCCGTGGCGATGTGTCCCCAGCCGAGGAGGGCTTCGGAGGGCTGTGCTCCTGGGCCATCTTCTGCTCACAGTCATGGAGAGAGAGCGCCGGCTTCCTCTTACCTGCAAGGAGAGAGTGAGCTGCCTGAAGCCCAGGGCGGGAGGGCTCTCAGGGCAGGAGGGCCCCCAACCCACTTTCCAGGCAAGGCTGGCTGTTGGGGTTTTGGGTGTGATGGGAGAGAAATCTCATTTACCATCCACAGCCCCTTTCGTGAAGGGCCATGGGAAGAATGAACAAAAGGCAGTGGAAAGGGTTGAGGAGTCAAAGGAAGAGGGGAGAGATTCTGCTCTCATCCTGGTAAGGAGGGCCTGGGCCATGCTTCCTCCAGAAGACTCTGCTGGATGGGAAGGGCCCGAGTAGAGGGCATCAGAAGGGCTCAACCAGAAGAGCAGGCCTGGCTTCAGAGCACTGGACTGGCTACCAGGGCTCACCCTGTGCCCTTGGTGCCCAGGGTCCAGCTTCTCCCTTTGGTAGAAGCTCCTTAGAGGTCACTTTCTCCCAGGGGCCAACTGGCTCCTTCTTGGCTCTTCAGTCCCTAGACCTGGGGAAGGGCCCACCTGCCACTCCAGTCATACCTTTGCCGCCCAGTGGCTCTCCAGCCTCCTCCCGTAGACAGGGCACAGTGGGGCTCTTCCTGTCCCTCTCAGGGGCTGCCTTTTCCCAGAGCAGTGATGGCCTGGCCATCACTGGCTTGTTGCTCTTGATCCGGAGGCTGTACTGGCGGGCCAGCTGGTAGACCTTGTTCTTGACGCGCTCACTCGTGTGGCTGTCCATCACGTGGGAGAGCTGCATGATGCGGGGGTGCAGTGGGGCCACCAGCTCTCCCTGGGCACTGCTGCTCAGTTCCTTCACCAGCTCTTTCAGCTCACGGGCCAGGTGGGCCGGGCTGCGCCCCTCGGTGGGAGAGGCGCTTTCCGGGGAGGCTGTGGCTGACTCCTCCGTGATGGCTCCTAGCTCGTGCTCCTCCAGGATGAAGAGTGGCTCGTGCAGGTCAAAGCCATTGGCCTGGCCCTGGCCCGGTCCCTTCCCAGAGCTCCCCCCAGAAGACTCCATTCCCTCCCAGATCTTAACAATTTCTGAAGATGGACGGAACTCAGAATCTGTGATGGGAGGTGGGTCCCCTGTGCCCACCTGGCTTGGTCCTGGGAGCTCAAACAGGGCCCACGAAGTCGGCCGGGAGCCCACCTGTCTCTTGCGCCCCACTGGAGCTACCGGCTCTGGGTCTGGCCGGGGAAGGCTGTTGAACCTGGAGACTGAGTTTCTCACCAGTCCTTTGGGGATGTAGGAGAGGCTCTCCCGGCGACGGACGCTGAAGCCCGCATCGTGGTGCTCCGCGTTTTCGTAATAGCTCTTAATCTTGTCCAGCAACAGCCGGTCTCGGGTAGAGAGTGCTGATTCCTTCTTCTTGCAGGAAGACCGGTCGGGCTCCATTGGGCAGCCTGGGCTTGGGGACTCCACCCCATTGACAGAAGGGCTGTCCTCTGTGGCCACCCCCACACCGATGTCCACTTCCAGGGAGAGCTGACAGCTGAGGGAGTCTGTGGTGCTGCCATGCCGGGCCAGGCTCTTCTCACTTCCCTCCAGGCTGAGCACGCTGCTGCTCCGGCTGACCAGCCGTGGGCTCCCAAAGCCACTGGACTTGCCGTCCTCCAGCGCCACGCTGCTCCGCCGGGAGAAGCTGCTGACAAACCGCTCTGCAATGACGCTGGCCTGGTCCAGCACAGAGGGTGGCAGGAGGCTCTCAGGCTCCTGGGCGGCACCCCCCATTTCTTCCTCCTCCTCACTGCTCAGGGCCTTAAGGTCCTCAGTGCTCTCAGCTGCCATGAAGTCCACCGTGTCACCCGGTGCATCCATCCCTAGAAGCCCCTGGTGGGAGTCAAGCTGTGTCTCCAGGACTTCTGGAGATTCTGTGTCTGAAGGCATCTCCTCGGCACTGGGCCCTTCCACAGCAGCAAATACCTCCTGCTCGCTCCCAGCCTCAGGGTCTGGCTCAACCTGAAACACAGCAGAAAAGGCTCACATGAATAAAAAGCCTCCTTCATGGGACCTAGGGGACAAGGGGATAGCATGGCCTGCTCAAGGCCCAGTGACAGGGACCTACAGTTTAGGAGACCCAAGGCAATCAGAACAAGCACATCTTAGGAGAAGGGCGATGGGTCCTTAGAGAGAGGAACACGCCTACGTCCTTTAGTCACCCTGCAGCGGGGGTGCTGGGCCCATGTCCTCAAAACCAAGGAAAACACTAAGAATGCAGATGGGGCAGGATGGAGATGCCTGGGTGGCAACCAGCCTGGGAACTACAGGGACAAGATGGGAATACACAAGAATGGGTTGCTCACCACCCCGGGTTCCCAGGGGCTGGTTCTCACAGAGCCATGGAACCAACATGGCTGAGGGTAAGGCAGCTCCCTGAAGCCCCAGTGTCTCCTCTCTTGGAGGTTCTCGGGTTCAAACCCAGACCCATGCAACATGAGAGGCCATTTCTATTTTCCTCAAGGGACAGGCCCTCCTGTGTGGATTAGGGTCTAGAGAGCAACACAGCCACATACCAGAATCCCATCAGAGGTCAAGGACCAGGAATGTGGCTCCTCCCAGCACCTGTGGGCCCAGCACAACTGCATGTGCCCAGGAAATGGGCAAGGAAGAAAGCAAACTTGACAATTCGCTCTTGACCACCCAAAGGTAATTTGAACCACAAAACCGGCTGACACAGGCAGCTTTCCAGAGTGGTCTTTAGGGAGATGACAAGAGCAAACACTAAATTCTGAGATCGGATCTAATTCCATCTGTTCTAGTCCAGAATCTGCAGAGCAACACCCATGCTCTAGACCTGCACTGTCCAACATGGGAGCCACCAGCCACTGTGGCTTTCTGAGCACCTGAAATGGGGTTAGGCCAAATGGAAACCTGCTCTTGGGATAAAATACACATCAGATTGCAAAGACTCCGTATTAAAAAAAGGGATAAAACATGTCAACAACTTTTTATGTTGCTTACATACTAAAATTTAATATTCTATATATATTGGGTTAAATATACTACTAACATTTCATCTGCTTCTTTTAAACTTTTTAATGGGTGGTTCTCATTCTGTTATTATTGGATACCCCATTTGCTGTGGTCTGAATGTCTGTGTATCTCTCTCTCTCTCCTTTTTTTTATGTTTTTCTATTTTTTTTTTGTTTCTTTTATCTTTTTATGTCTGTGTATCTCTAAAATTGATATGTGTTGGCCAGGCACGGTGGGTCACGCCTATAATCCCAGCACTTTGGGAGGCCGAGGTAGGCGTATCACCTGAGGTCAGGAGTTCAAGACCAGCCTGGCCAACATGGTGAAACCCCATCTCTACTAAAAATACAAAAACTTAACCGGTTGTGGTGGTGCACGCCTGTAATCCCAGCTACTCAGGAGGCTGAAGCAGGAGAATCGCCTGAACCTGGGAGGCAGAGGTTTCGGTGAGCCAAGATCATGCCATTGCACTCCAGCCCAGGCGACAGTGCAAGACTCCATCTCAAAAAAAAAAAAAAACACCCAACAAATAAATAAAATTGATATGTGGAGGCTAACACCCAATGTGATGGTAATGAGGGCCGGGGACTTTGGGAAATTAGATCATGAGGGCTCCATCCTCATGAATGAGGTCAGATCCCTTACCAAAGAGGCTCGAGGGAGCTTCCTTGCCCCTTTGTCATGTGAGGACACAGCAAGAAGCCACCATCTATGAAGCAGAGGGCGAGCCCTCAACAGGGTCTGCTGGCATCTTGACCTTAGAATTTCCAGCCTCCAAAACCGTGAGCAATAACTAAGCTACCCAGGTAGCAGTAAGGGATTTTGTTACAGCAGCTCAAGCTAAGACATCATGCTACATTCCTATCCAGTATCATCCAGGCTTCTCAGTCCTGGCTGTGGGGTCCAACATGGGGTCCAGGCCATAGCTCACGATCTTACCCTTATAACTGGGAAAGTGAAGGACTCTGCTTCCCACAACCCACAGACAGCATAGGGCAGGAGGAGGAGAGTGGGCCTCTGAGTCCAAGCCCCAGGTCTGATCTCGGCCCCGCCCCTTAGAAGCTGCTCAGCATCAGGCACACCATCAACCTCTCGCCATCAACCCCTCGGAGCCCTTTCCTTCTAGAGTTATTGTGGCAGAGAAGGAAGAAATAACACATCACTTACAGAGGAGGTGTCCAATAGATATCAATTCCCTACTCTTTGCCCAGGTGACCACGGGTGTGATTTCAATGTCTGGCAGGCTGGCAGGGACTGGGCCTTGTAACCTATACGAGGTGGCCTAATATCTGGTCCATTTCCACCAGCTGTGTGCCCTTGGCGTGGGACTGGAGGTGCCTTTTTCTAATTCATTGAAAGGGGTGGTCAGCTCACCACACCACATACCCCCAGGCCAAATGGGCTTCCGGCAGCGCTGAGAGAGATGGGGAATCTATGTTGCCATGGGCTCAATGGGAAGAGCCTATGCCTGAAAGCCCTACTTGCAGACTTGGAAATCTGGACTCTAGGCACTTCCTCCTACCCCCATGCCACCTGCTGGTCGCTCACCTCTGGCAGGGAAGAAACGGACTCGAAGCTCATGCGCTTCTCAGCACTGGTTGGAGACCGGCCACTGGGCCTTCTGCTGCTCCTGGAGCCTTCAGACTCCCTGCGCCCCTTTCCCTGCAGAGGCAGAGGTCAGTCATCAACTCCAAGATAACTGGAAGCTGATCCCTTCTGTACCCCAATATGGACAGTGCCTCCCACACCAAGGGGTTGGGCTGAGCTAAGAGCCAGCCTTGGACCCAAGCCATTCCAGAGCCAACCTGAACCGCCAGGCCTGGGGCTGCAGAAAGCCTTGTCAGGCATGCGGCTTCAGAAAAGCCCAACCCACCTTTCTGTCCAAAGTGGACTTGACCATTCCAGCCCCACTGTGAGCTGGCTTCTCCCCACCCCCTTCGCCCCACCCACTTATCATGCTTGTTGGGCGTTATACTGATTAGTGTCCAGTACTAGAACAGAGCATGCCAGGGGCTCACAAGGGTGTGACAGCGAGCAAGGGGATTAAGAAGTGCTGAGGGGAGGAGTAAAACCAGGGCAGGGTAGGGTGTGGAGGGCAGAAGAGGGGGCCCTAGGATGGGCATGCACATGCCAGGAAGCATGCAGGGAGGAAGGGAGCTTGAAGAGACACCTCACCATAGCGCCCCGGGAGAAAAGTAAAGCGTTGGCCCGATAGTGCCAGCAGTGGAGGGCGGCCAGCAGGGAGCTGGCAAAGTCGGCTACCTGCTCCGCCACGGCCAGGCTCTCCTCCTGCTCCTCCTCCTCCTCTGAGCCTGGGGGTTCCGGCCCAGACCCCTTCTCGTTGCCTTCATGCCCTGCCAGGTCCTCCAGAGAGACCTGAAAGGCCTGCTCCTCCTCCTCCTCCTCCTCCTCCTCCTCCACCACCTCCTCCTCTTCCTCCTCCTGAGCAGCCCCTTCAGCCTCCGGCTGCAGGTCCCGAGTACGGGAGGGCTGCCCAAAGTCCAGGAGGGTGCCAGCACTGCCTGCATGCTGTTCAGAGCACAAGAGCCCCTCGTGACCAGCATCTTGGGCAACCTCCCCTCCTCCTGCAGGCAGCTGGGGGTGGGGACGCTTCACACAGAAAGTCACATCTAGATGCCCAACTCAGGTCTCCACTGGGGTCCAGGGAGGAGTGGGCATTATGGTGGAAAGGCTGGGACCTTGTAAAAAAAATTCAGAACCCAAAGAGGCCTGCCTGCCTGTCTACCCTAGAGAGAAGGAAATCTGAGCAGGTTCACACTGGGCAGAGTCTGGTACACAGTAGGTGATTAGTAGGCATTTGTTGAATGAATGAAAACAATGAGGGCTGACGGGGCTAGAAGGATGACCTGGGCAGTCCCACCCGCCTGTTAGCCAGTCCCCTCCTCCCACTGGCCTTTACCTTCATTCCTGTTGCTCGGGCTGCAGACATCGCCACCAGATCCCCAGCACACGGGCGAGGGGCAGGGGAGAGGAAGAGATCAGTAAGCAGCAGACAGACCTCTGTACAGCCCCATGGGGAAGGCCTCCCTGGGGGCTCCTGCTCCTAGAACCCTCACCTAGTCTCTTGGGCTTTCAAAAGAATGATTGACAGAGCAGGAGCCCAGGGGCCGCAGAGCAGTGCAGGTCTGTGCTCGCTGTTTCCCGAGAAAAGGGCAAGAGGCCTGTGCATGGGGGAGAGCTCCAGCCCCTCTCCTCAGACAGTCAGGGGTGAGGCCCTCTTCCAGAGGGAACAGAAGCAGAGTCCCCTCTATACTATTCTGACAATCCCCCCGCCCGCAGGTCACACCCCAGGTTGTCAGCTGCTTCCGCTCCTCCTGCCCTGCTCAGTGAGAATGGCTGGCTACCCTCACACACTCACCTTTCTCGTTGAGTTGCCTGAGCAGGTGTTTGGTTGGTTCTGAGGAGGAAAGCATGGGCAGAGTCAGTGCAGGCCAGGAAGCTGCTGTGCTTCACTGGGTCCCAAGCTCACAGTGCCACCAGCCCATCACCAGCTCAAAGTCCACTCTGCCTTGGCCCCCAGCAGCCATAAGGCCCCAGGAAGACTGCCTTCCACAATGTCATCGAACCCCCTTGCACCTACTGGACAGGGAGATGGGCCCATCCAGCCCCAGGACGCTTGCTGTGACTATGAGCCCTGCAGCGCTGCCCATGATGCAATCAATGCATTATCGCACCTGGCCCAGGGCCCTCAAGCAGGAGCCATAGGGAGGGGACAAAGCTCCATGCTGCCCCCTTCAGACCAACTAGCAACATCTCCGGAGGGAGGTTCCTGGCTCCACCGCAAGCCTCCTGCCTCCCTGCCAATAAGCTATCAGCACATCAGCTACACCCACTGCCAAGCCCCCTCACAGCACCCCAGCCGGAAAGCAGAGGTCGCACCCGACTTTCTACGGCCTGTAAGGCCTGGCATCATGAAGCCTCGCTGCCCGCCGGGGAGAGTTGCCCGAATATACGGAGAGTGACCAGGCTCTGGGGACAGAATACAAAATACATCCGTTAGGCTGACGGTGTCATCACCTTGTACCCCAGCCTTTCTGGGACACACCTGACACTGGAGGGCAGGAATAAGAGGACCTTGTCTTAAGGTCCAGCTCTATAGACCCTTGACCTTCGCTTATTTTTATCCTTGCCCAGCCCGGCTGACGGTAAGTGGGAGGCCCAGGGATGGCCATGATTTGCTACACACTTGGAGTCAGAAGGAAAGTCTACCAAGGAATCTTGCTGTTCCTCAGCAGGAGGGCCTACTGAAGAAATCCTTTTCTGCTAACACACACGCAACATGCATACCCTACCTGTATCAATGTAAGTAAATGCCTCATTATTTTTAAAGTGAGAAGTAGAAAATATTCTTTCATTTCAAAACTTCTCAAGAATATTGGACAAGTGCGATTTAAATTAAATAACAGATCTTAATTATCCATAGAGTATACTTGTTAGCCCATCTCAGCTCTCTAAGTGGGAAGCAGAAGCGGAAAAGACCTCAAGGAAGTCAGAGCGGATGGCTGAGCCCAGGCAGTAGAGTGCCCGCATGTGGCCCAAGCCCTTCCCCCGGGACTTTCCTGGTCTTTTTGTGGTCTACAGTTCCCACAAGTTCAATAGATTGACTCATTGATTTCTTTCTTTCTTTTTCTTTTTTTGAAACAAGGTCTTGTTCTGTCACCCAGTTCGGGTATAGAGGCATGATATCCACTCACTGCAACCTCTGCCTTCCAGGCTCAAGTGATCCTCCCACTTCAACCTCTGGAGTAGCTAGGACTGCAGGTGCATACCATCATGCCTAGCTAATTTTTTAATTTTGTAGAGATAAAGCCTCACTAGGTTGTCCAGGCTGGTCTTGAACTCCTGGCCTCAAGTGATCTTCCCACCTTGGCCTCCCAAGGTGCTAGGATTACAGGAGTGAGCCACCATGCCTGGCCTGAACAATCAATTTCTAATAGACAGGAGGGGAAGAGGGGCTACTACAGACAAACATGCCTAGACTGATGAGAACAAACACGTCAGTGTTACAGAAGAATTGTGAAGAGGGGCATGGCACACCAAATGCAGGCTGTCTCTATGGCAACCCACAGCTTCTGGGGCCCTTCAAGCATCTGGCAGTTCACATGCCCTAAGTGATGCTGTAGCATCGACTCCAGAAAAGGAAAGGTTCAACTGGGGGCATCACCCTCAGTTTAACATGCTTTAGAAAGACATCTATTTCAACCGAGCGTGGTGGCTCATGCCTGTGATCCCGGCACTCTGGGAGGCTGAGATGGGTGGATTACCTGAGGTCAGGAGTTCAAGACCAGCCTGGCCAACGTGGTGAAACCATTTCTATTAAAATAGAAAGAAATTAGCTGGGCGTGGTGGTGTATGCCTGTAATCCCAGTTACTCAGGAGGCTGAGGCAGGAGAATCTCTTGAACCAGGAGGTGGAGGTTGCAGTGAGCAAAGATCGCACCACTGCACTCCAGCGTGGGCAACAGAGCAAGACTCCATGAAAGAAAAGAAGTCTACTTCATAACAGTTAAAACAAAAAAAATTGCCGGGCGCAGTGGTTCACGCCTATAATCCCAGGACTTTGGGAGGCCGAGGCGGGTGGATCACAAGGTCAAGAGATCGAGACCATCCTGGTCAACAAGGTGAAACCCCATCTCTACTAAAAATACAAAAACTAGCTGAGCATGGTGGTGCATGCCTGTAGTCCCAGCTACTTGGGAGGCTGAGGCAGGACAATTGCTTGAACCCAGAAGGCGGAGGCTGCAGTGAGCCGAGATCGTGCCATTGCACTCCAGTCTGGGTAACAATAGCGAAACTCCGTCTCAAAAAAAAAAATTTTTTTTTTAAATCTTTTTTGAAAACTCCAGCTCGTAGTATTTACAGGCTAAAAATCTCAGCCTTGTGGAAACTTCAGCTCTCTAAAATGTCTCATTTCCTGAGTGCCTTGGACACCTAAAGTTTGGGGGTTTTTTTGTAACAGCTTTATTGAGATATAATTCACATACAATTCACTTATTTAGAGTGTATAATTTGATGGCTTTAAGTATATTCAGAGTTGTACATCTGTAGCTAAAGTTTTGACACTGACATTAGGATAGAGCTACTATCACTACCACCAACATTATCAGTTGCTGAACACATTCATGTGATAGAAGCTTCCAATTTTAAGGGACAGCAAGTTAAGGAGGACAAGAAGAGAATTACAGGAGAAAAAAAAGAAACGGAAATAAAGAGGGCTAGAGAGAAGAAGGCAACACCCCCATTTGGGGCTTTTAACCATGAAACTTCTGCAACCATAGCAAGGTGGCCTAGGGCTCAAGATCCATCCAGGGCAATACCAACAACAGAAAACCACAAAAGCTTCCTCTAAGCCACTGCTCCACCTTCCAGAAGGCTAACGCCCACATATCAATCCACACGCACGTTCAGGGGACCCACGGGTCATCACCAATCAAACCCAACATACTCGTGGACCCAAGCCAAGACACTGCTCTCAGTCACTTTAGAATCCTTCTCTCCCAGAGTCTGAAAGACAATTCTCACCCCAACTCCCACCTTGGGGATGTTTGGCAGACACCTGGCTTAAGCCGGACCTGTCCTTGGGCCTCGCCCTAAATAGCAGTGAAAAAACCAATGTAGAAAACATACACACTCATCACCACAGAGCTAAGAATAAAAGCAAGGTTTTCTCCTTTCAAATGGATGATTCATTCCAATAATCCAAGAACATGCTAGCAACTCCAGGAATGGAAGAAAACTCAGGAGAGGAAAATGGAACTTTTTCTTGAGACCCAAAGTAAATATTGCCTGTCTGGGTTTGGTGCCACTGAAGTCTAACTCGTTTTCCCCAGGTCCTGCTTCCGCTGGGTTGTTCCAGGACTGGGATGGGGCCATGCATGATGTCTGAGTGTCACTCCTGAATGACTTGGAGTTGGTATTCCCAAGCGGCAAAGGTGGGAGGGGGTAAGAAGGGGTGCCAAGGCCCAAGGGAACAAGTATTCCTAGGGCCTTGAAAAAAGTGAGCTGGACAGTTGCAGTGGCTCACACCTATAATCCCAGTACTTTGGGAGGCCGAGGCAGGCATATCACCTAAGGCAAGGAGTTAGAAACCAGCCTGGCCAACATATAGTGAAATCCTGTCTCTACTAAAAAATACCAAAATTAGCTGGGTGTGGTGGTGCATGCTTGCAGTCCCAGCTACTTGGGAAGCTGAGGCAGGAGAATTGCTTGAACCCAGGAGATGAAGGTTGCAGTGAGCCGAGATCAAGCCACTGTACTCCAGCCGGTGACAGAGCAAGACTCCGTCTCTCAAAAAAAAAAAAAGGAAAGAAAAGGTTAGCCCAGACCAGTTGGGCAGCAAGGGCCCAGAGGCACCTGGTGTGGGCAGCACTAGCAAAGGGAAAGGATGTGCCCCAGGTGTGTGCCCAGCCTGCCTCTAGCCTTTCCCAGGGTTTCCGCAGAGGTGAGAGCCACCCCTGGACACTGCCGCAGACAGTCCCCAGCCTGGGCAAGGGTGTGAGAGAGAGGCTTCCTGCTTCCACAGCCCTTCTCTTACCAGATTGCCGGCGGCCCTGGCGCACATGGGTGGACACCTCATCCTGGGAGGACCACGCCTTCTTCATCCGCTCTGGGCTGTAGCGGTACCGATTGGGATCTGCACCCAGGAGAGAGACAATCAAGCTTTTGGCTCCCAACTGGACCTGGCCTACTCCCGACCCTGTCCATGCCCAGCAAGACCTCTGCACCCACCCAGCTCCAAGGACAGAAGCCTCCAGAGCGCCTTCCATCTTCCATCTGGCAGCTTCAGGAACTGAGGGTCCCACCGCTCAGCAGGAAAGCATCCTTAATCATGTAGTTAAACCTCGCCCTTAACAGGAGGCCCCCATCCTCCCCCTCTTGGAATAAAATGATCAGGTAAACCTTCCCCAGAATGCAGCCTGACCTAGCAATGTGCACAATTAGGGATAAAACAGGCAGAAAAGGGCACACTTACAGTAGGAGTCCATTTCCAGGATGGCTTCCTTGGCCTGAAGGAGAAGGCAACGTACCTGGTTATTACCTTTCTGTGGGTCGACCTCCCCTGCCCACAGGACCCACCGTTGCTGTACAAGGATGGCCCACAGTGCTGCACCAAGGCCTGGGGCATCTGCTGTACTGACACCCACTGTCCCTTGGAGCCAACGTCTAGAACGTGAGGCCCCAACGGACCCTGCAGAGCTGGCTCAGAGGAGCACATTCTCCCTGCACCCCCTCCACTCAGGAGCTGGAGGAGCTGACCTTCTGGGGAATGGTGGCATGGTGATTCTCTAGGATGAGCCTCTTGATGTGGTGAGTCCAGTTCCGTTTCTCTTCCACTGTCTTGGCCTGGGAGGATCCAAGGGAAAGGAACTCAGGGGTTATCAATACAGGCCTGAAGCTGTCTAGCATGGACAGTGCTTCCACCCAGGAAAAAAAGTGGGGCCATACTGGGGCCTCTGTGAGGTTAGCCTGACTCATCACTTCGACCCTCAGAGGTGCCTGCAAAGATCCCTGCCTTACAGATGGAGACACTGGGGCTTGGGGCAGCTAGGTGAGCAGAGGAGCCAGGAGTCCCACGCAGGTATCCCCTGGGCATCTTGTTTCCTCACTCCTGCACCCCACCTGCCTCTCACCTGGATGCTGTACTGCTGCTTGCTGTGCTTGTAGTGGGTGATGGTGAAGCACAGGGAGTCTCTGGTGCTTTCAATCAGCATCAGGGAGGAGCACTGGGGTCAGAGGGAAAGGAGAGTCAAGCACAAGGTTGGGGGGCCTGTCCCCTCAGGACAGCCTGGGGAAGTAGGGAGGGTGACTCAGAAGGGTGGTGCAGGAGCCCCAAGAAGCAGACAAGAAGGGGAGCCCAGATCCTCTGGAAAAGAGAGAAGATGGCAGAGGAGATGGGCAGGGCCTGGTTACCGGGATGTTGCCCTTGTAGACAAAGTGATCGCCGCGCTTCTTGGTGATAAGCAGCATTTTGTCAAAGAGGAAGAAGGTCCTTTCATTGCGCACGCGATGCACGCGGAACGTGCCCTCCAGGACAAGCTCCCCGTAGGTGGTCAAGTCGGGTCCCTTCCAGTTAATGAGGAGTGACTGAATCTCCTGCAGTAGAGGGGCCCAACCCCTAGTCAGGCCACTGGGGCCCCAGGAGGCTCTGCAAACCCAATGCCACCCCCAGCTCATCCTGGAAGGGTTGACACATGCCCTCTTTCCAGCGGAAGCCCGGCCCATTCAGCCCTGCCCCTCCCCCAGCCTCCCAGCCCCAGAGCACCTGGAGGCGGACTGCGTGCTCATGCCTCCTCTTCATGTCGTTGATGTACCAGGCCACACAGGTCATGGTGTCAATGGCATCCTCCACCACGTCAAAGCCATCCTCTTCTTCATCAAAATGCTTGGCAATTTCCTGCACAGAAGATAGGGGCTTAGGTACCCCTGACTCGAAGGCCTGCCCTCCCCAGGCCCCAGGTGTTTGGGAGGAAGGGGGAGGGGGCGATGGCTACCTGGAGCAGCAGGTGGTACTTGAGGATGCGCTGGACCGGCTTCAGCAGGTAGGAGCCCAGGGGCAGCGAGTGCTGCAGCAGCTCCTGCCGGTCCCGAAAGAACTTGGCCTGCTGCTTGTCCCGCATGCATTCTGTCAGGGCGGCCACGGAGCTGCGAGTGGGAGAAGGGCCTGTCACTGCCTGGGGAAGGCCTGGGTGAGGAGGTGGGGGCTCTGGACTCACCAGATGGCTCTGCCTTCCCTCTCACCCTAGTTACTCACTTGGGGTAGTTGTTGCAATACTGGGTGTAGATATCAAACTCTTGGCTCTAAGAAGAGATCAAAAATAGTGATTTCAGAGAGATTCCCATTTGACTGTAAAGATGTGGTACCCGACGGGTCCCTAGCCCCAGAGCATACTCTGTCCCCTGTTCCCAAGTGCCTACCGAGCCATCTTTATACCTATTTGTCAAGAACATCCCATCCACCCAGCAGCCCTGGCTCCCCCCAGAACACCCTTCTTATTCAAGACAAAGCACCCGGGTCTTTCTGTGGAAAGGGATCCCCAGGACTTAGATGTCCTCTTATGCTGGCAGTTCTTGTCTCTCTGAGCTGTCAACAAGGTAGGACAGGGGCAAGGGCCCAACCCTTCTTACCCTTTCTACAAAGCAGCTGGCCACAGCCACGGGGTCACTATTGCAGCTGTCCAGGTCTCTGAGGAGCTGGCTGGGTGAGGGGAGAGCAGCCACTGTACCCTCTGCAGTCAGAGGACAACGCCCCTCACTGCCCCCTCCCCAGCCTCCCAAGCCCTGAGCCCTGACTGACAGCCAGCCCTGTTGTCATGCTAAGGAGCTGGGGCTTCCAGCCTCCTGGGAGGCAGCCAAGGGCAGAGGGAGCCCTGCCCCATGGAACAACCACAAAGTATCCAACACCACCATGAAGCAGGAATCCAGGGAGACCCATGGGCTTGGCAAGCGGGAGAGGAAGAGAGGACCCCCATACCTACCTTGGGAGGGGACACAGCTCCTCCGTAGGCAGAAGGAGTCAAACATACAAAAGCAGAGGATTAAAGGGCAAAGAAAAGAGAAAGGGGACTAGCAAAGGAGTCAGGGACATGGGGAGAGACAGGTGAGTCCTGGCACCCCTAGAAACACTGCTCCTTGTCTCTTCCCTCTATGCTCCTCCTCTTTTCCCAACCCCTCACCATTGGCCTAAGTGTTCCCTGCACCCCGCGCTCCCAGACCTCTCCAGCTTACACAGCCAGAGCTCCCTCTGCCGATCTTAAGGGGCCTAGGATATGATTCTTCCGGTCTTAGCACCGCTGTTGCCTCAAGCCCTATCCTTCCCAAGCAGCGCACTTTCCCTGGGGAGTCCGTGGTCCCAGGCAGTAGATCCACACCCTTTGCCCTGACACAGGCCCTGGCCAGGCCTTGTTCAGCCTCCCACATCTGTCTTTCGGGGGCTGTGCATTCCACTAATAGGTCAGATCATCTCCAGGGAGCCCTTGAGGTCAGTGGGAAGGAGGATAAGAAATTAGGAGATGTGCAAGTGAAAAATGAAGATGAGAAGGACAGAGAAGCCACCCAGAGGGAAGAGAATCAGTGTGCAGGAAGGAGCCCAGCAGCCCCATGAGGGGCGCCAGCCCAGGCTGGACCCAACACGCATACACCGTCCAATTACCTCCCCATCTGCACTTGACAGAAAGCGCATCAGCCAGGGCACAGAGATGGACCACCCTTCCCTGTCCTCAGAGAACAGGCCCGGGCCCACATGTCACAGCCCGTGAGTCCAGGGCCATCCAGGGTTCCTTTGTAGGCCCTGAAGGGGGCATCGCAGGCACAACATGGTGTCGGGCCCATTCACATACCTGTTGAGTTCGTAGATGTTCTCTATGTTCCCGAAGAGGGCGCTGACCTGTTCTGGCTTCAGCAGCCCCGGTGTGTCGATGATCTTCAAGAGGTAGTCCTGCGTGGGGAGAGGTGGTCAGAACCCGGCTCCCGGCACAACACTGCCCACTACCCACCCTAGCCACACCTCGTTTCGGCACTGCTGTGACACCACTTCATAGGCCTCGTACTGTGCTGGGTGAGACAGTGTCCACCTGGAACCCCAGAATGTGACTTTATTTGGACATAAGGTCTGTGTAGATGCCATTAGTTAATGATCTCAAGATGACTGCAGATAGGATTCAGAGTGGGCCCCAAATCCAGTGGCTGCTGTCCTTATAAGAGGAGAGGACAGGAAAACACAAAGAAAAGGTGTTTTCTGTGAAACACACAGAAAAGAAGACTGCCAGGACCCAGGAAGCTGGATGAGAGGCATGGAACAGCTACTCCCTCAGAGGCTGCAGAGGGATCCCACCCGGCCAACACCAGCCAACACCTTGATTTTGGACTTTGGCCTCCCGAACTGAGAGAGAATATGTCTGCTGTTTTAAGCCACTCAGTGTGTGGTCATTTGTTAAGGCAGCCCTAGGAAACTAATCCACACCCCAAGCCAACGGGCAGAGGGATTCCTCAGTGGTGGCCACACAGCTCCCCTTCCGTGCCCTTTACCTACAGTGGCCCTGCAAGGGAGGTGTGGCTTTTTCTTACAGAGGAGGAACCTGAGGCTCCACACAGCTAGGAAACAACAGGGCAGGGGATGCTGGGGGGCCAGGCCCAGAGCCCGTGTCTTCACCGCATTCAGTCTCTGTGGTACAGGCTCTCTAGAGCCATCTTCCTAAGCAGGCTGGGGCCCCACCCTCCCTATCAACGATGCTTACTCCTGCCAGCCCAAGCTACTGATCTGGCCCAAGGTCCTAGGGAAGCCTGAGGAGTCCACAGCTTCCACAGGGCTGTGGGAGACCCCAGTCCTCCAACTACTCCACGGGAAGCATGTCTTCTGAGAGCTTCCCTCCCGGGTGAAGCAGGCTTCTGCTAGAATACTGCATCTGGGGCCCTAGCACGCACCTCCACGATGCTGCGCAGGTCCTGCACATACATGCGCTCAGTCTCCACGATCTCCCGCACCACTCGGCCCAGGTAGCTGAGCTTGTGATGTGCAGACCCAGCAGCCGCCCGGCTGTTGAATGGGGAGAGGGGCCCCTTCACGTTCAGCCAGCTGCTGGAGTTGTTGTTGCTGTTGGGGAGATGCCGGCCTCTTGGGGAGCCTGCTCCATTCTTGGTGGGAGCCTCGGAGCCGCTAGGCTCCTCCATGGCACTACGACTGTCACGGGAAGAGCCTGACGAGGAGGTAGTAGAGGTCAGGCTCACCGGCCGCTCCTGGCTGCCATCCTGGCGGAGAGAGGTGGATACGGGCATCCTGGCATTGCTGCCTGGGGAGGGCACCCCCAAGAGATTCTGCAACAAGACAGACAGATGAAGGGTCAACTTCAGAATGCCCAGAGAAAGAGAACAGGAGTGGCTGCCAGGGATGGGGGCGAGTGGGGTGGGCATGTTTAGTGGGTCCAGAATTCAGTTTTAGAAGATGAAACGGTTCTGTGGATAGATGGTGATGCCAGTTGCACAATGATATGAATGTACCTACTGTCATTGAACTGTACATTTAAAATGGTGAAGATGGGCCAACTTTATGCTATGTGTATTTACGTTTAACACAATTAACAAAACAAAACTGAATCCCAAGAAAGGCCGTGCCCTCAGACTCTATGAGCACCGATGAGGTGCCCAAGTCCACTTGCCAGCGCAGTGGTCCAGGTACCTGCTGAGGAACTCACAGCCCAACCCCACTGCCAGGGCACAGTACTTAGTCTCTCAGGGCCGCAGCTCCTCACCTGTAAAATGAGGTTGGACACAGCCTACCCCATGGCTATGTCCTCATGGATGAGGCTATCTGCTATTTGTAAAGCTCTGAGCACAATGCCTGGTACACAGTTCGTGCTCCATATGCCATCAATATGGTGATGATAATGGCAGTTGTCAAGAGGCACTTCCCAAGTGTTCACCTGTCTGTGGCCTGTGCTGGGGTCACTGTACAGGGATGGGCAAAGATCTGGTTCTTACAATGTTAAGACAAGACACATACCGGGGTGATATTCTTCCTAGGATTGCAAAACGTTTAGGGGCACCAGTGGCTTCACCACAAACCTGAAACCTTCTGAATATTGACTGGCTGAGCCAGCATTATCCCCCCCACTCCCCAGCCCCACCCCAGCACCTGGTACAGGTTGCCCCTGACTCATCCCAGGCCCCAGGAAATTTCTCAAGGCTGAGCCATCAGTGAGTCTCTGCAAGCTCCTTTTAGCACAGCTGGGTGGGGGCAGCAGAGAAAGTAGTAAACTGCGCCTAGGTGAGGCAGACACAGCCTCAGGTGGACTTTATTCTCTAAGCAGATGATGTGGTTCACAGGTAGGCCCACCTGGAGCAGCCGGGGAAGGAAGGGTGGAGTGGCCAGACTGCTTCCCTTTGGGAAGGACAGGGACACCTATGCAAACCCATGCCCACGCCATAGAAGCAGAGCTCACCAGTGCCACTTTCCAGAGTACACATCTCATTGCTAGTTCACAGAAAAGCAGTAAGTTCCTGGGCATTCCTCTCATCCCTACTGACCCAAGTCTTCTACCCCTAGCTTTAGAGCTCAGAAGCAACTAGACCACAGACATGGCCAAAGGGTAGAGGCTTGAGCTACATGGAGAAGGATCTAGAAGCTGCCATCACTCTGGGAACCCTTGGCACTGGCCCCTGGTTCTCTATGCCTCTGCCTCAACCTAGAAACCCACACCCCTGGGTCTCTGGCTTTTGCAAATGTTCTCTCTACCTCAGCACTGTCTCCTCCCCATCCACCCCATACGGTACCATTCCCCAACCTATGTACATCCAATCTTTAGGTCTCCGATTAGACGGTGCCCCCTCTAGGAACCTTCCAATATCCCCCAAACCTGGGGAACCTTTCTGTGTTTTCTCACCGCCTCCCAGGTTTCTCCCACTGTGGCACTCGACTAGTTTGAGATCCTCTGCCCTACACTATTAGTTACTTAAGAGCAGGAGTTATACAAAAATTAGCCCGGCATGGTGGCGGGCGCTTGGAATCCCAGCTACTCAGGAGGTTGAGGCAGAATTGCTTGAACCTGGGAGGCAGAGGTTGCAGTGAGCCCACCAAGATCAAGCCACTGCACTCCAGCCTGGGAGATAGAGCAACACTCCTTCTCAAAAAGAAAAAAAAAAAAAAAAAAAAAAAAAAAAGAGCACAGGTTTTCAGGGCCAACTTGACAATTGAACAATGATGGTGAACAAATTGACGCTTTTACTGAGGTACAGAGTAAGCACCTCAAGACTGACCACTCGCTGCTAACCTAGCCAGGACCCTCTGGAGCACAGCACTTTGTCACTGTGTCTCACTGGAGGGGGTCACCTCCAAGGTGCTCCGTAGGAGCCTCTCGTCTTGCAGATGGGACTCAGTGGCAAGCAAGTGCTTTCCCTCCACAGCACAATGCAAGGAGGGCTAATTAACAAGATCATTTTGGTAAAGCTCTTTGAGCTGATCAGAGGAAAACCCCCTGGGAATTGTAAGGCTGCTGCTTTTTCCTCCCTCCTCAAAAGAGTCTTTACAATTAATCAGCTATGCCTTTTACAGAACCAGCAGGCAGGCCAACACCGTGTCATTCCAGCTCCAACAGACAAAAACCCAAGCTCCACCCCAGCCCTTAACCCCCAGCCCTGTGGCACTTGATGTTCTTCAGAGCGCACAGTCAGGCACTCCCCACCACCACCACCATCACAGCGGGGAACAAAGGGGCAGGGATTTATGGCCTAAGACCTTTCCCAGATCAGATCTGGGGTCAGCTTCTTTGGGGAAGCTAAATGGAAAAGGCCCCAGTCCCAAATGGATTTCACAGGCAGCCAGGTCACAGCCTTAAAGCAAAAGATTACTCACAGCCCAACCCCTATGCCAACACACATACAAATAGGGAGATCTGTCTCTAAAAGGGACTTTCTGAAGGTCCCTATTTGGGGATCCTACTGCAAGAGAGTGACAACAGAAGCATACTTCAAACTCAGAAACTAAAAGGTCTTTTCTACTTGGAAAAGTTTTCTCTCTGATTGATCATAGGCTACCTGTCTGCAAACTAAGCTCATATTTTGAAAACAGTACCCGTGGCCCAAATCCTCCTAGCACTAAAACAAAGCATAACAGCCAACTGCTAAAATGCTCTAAGTGATATATACATATTAAAATGACTAATCCCTTGCAACAACTCCAGTAGGTGGGTTCTCATTTTACACATGCAGGCACTGAGGCCACAGAAGTAGTAGGTGGTAGAGCCTGGACTTGAACTCAGGCACTAAGCCTCCAGAGTTCATGCTCTGCTGCCCACTGCCTCCCTAACGGACTATACACACTAGCCAGGGCTATAAACAAACGCTTGGTCACAGCCCTGGCTGCCATGGCTTTGCTTCAGCATAAGCTGCAGGAGACATGAAGACCTGAAGGATCGGGGCTTACGACATGACACTCCGAAGGACTGAGTCGAGATTCCTTAGGGCGGTTTTTGGACCTGCTACTATGTGATCTTTAGTCATTCACTCTCTGGCAGAACAACACGGTAAAATACAGATCCCCGGTCAAAGGATCGCAGGTCAAGGGTAAGCAGAAAGGAAAACGGAAAAAGCATGAGGTCACCGGATTAGACTATAAAGTTCTTGGATGATGACAGAAGCCCTGGTCACATGACCAGGAGACCCAGGATCACAAGGCTCTCTCTCCTGAGCAGGAGGACTTGCTGGAAAAGAACCAAGAGCCCAAGAAAGGGAGGGCTGAAGAACAAACGAGGCACTGAGTACAAAGCAGGACACCAGTGCAGACTGTCAGGAGGCACTGTTTGATGGTGATGGATAAGAGACATGGCACTCAATCGGAGTGCATTCTGAGTGCATCCCACTCAATCGGAGTGCATTCTGGCCCTAAGAGACCAGATTGGAACCATTACATGTGTGCAGCTCAGACTCCCACAGAGACGGCTAAAGTGCCTCCGCTGGTGCTCCCCGGGCGGGGCCAGCCTTTCCTTCCTACCTGAAGAGCATCACTCCATACTGTAAGATTCTCCCAAGCCAGGATAAGAACTGGGGATGAGTCTTCATACTCACCCTGGAAGACCCCATCTGCTAGGGAAGGAGGAGGCCAGAGAAAGAGGTGATGAGGCAGATAGCAGCCAAACCCTCAAACCAGGTACTCACGCCTACCCCATCCTATCTCACACAGGTCTCCAGTTCTCCTAAGTATGCCCCAACCATGACCTCTTCCATCTTGCAACACCAATCAATCCAGTCAGTCATCAGTGAATCAGTCTTCTAGAAAACTTGCTTTCTCAGCCTGTAATCCCAGCACTTTGAGAGGCAGAGGCGGGAAGATCACTTGAGGTCAGGAGTTCAAGACCATCCAGGCCAAGAGGATAAAACCCTGTCTCTACTAAAAATACAAAAATTAGCTGGGTGTGGTGGCGGGCACCTGTAATCCCAGCTACTTGGGGGGCTGAGGCAGAAGAATCACTTGAACCTGGGAGGTGGAGGTTTCAGTGAGCTGAGATCGCGCCACTGTACTCCAGCCTGGGTGATAGTGCAAGACTGTCTCAAACAGAAAGAAAAAGAAAACTCTCTCAAGTCCTACACTTGTGAAGTCTTCTTTGAGAAGGTCCCCAAAGACTTATCTCTTTTTTTGAGACAGGGTCTCCCTCTGTCACCCAGGCTGGAGTGCAGTGGTACAATCACAGCTCATTGCAGCCTCGACCTCCAGGGCTCAAGCCATCCTCCTGCCTCAGCCTCCGAAAGTGATGGGATTAGCAGGTGTGAGCCACCACACCCAGCCAAGCTTCCTTTTTTGATGGCCTAAGAAGCTCAGACATACACCTTTAAAGATCCATGGGCAGAAGTGGGAGAGAGAGGTTTCTTTTTTTCCTCTAAATTTGAACCTAAACCACACCCTTCCTCCACCCACACCTGTCCTCTGGAGGAGCTTCCCTGAATACTGCAGGTGCCAAGCCAGACAGGCTGCAACAGGCCCTGGATTCCCAGCACAGCAGACTGGGGCCACATCCTTCCCTCCCCACTATGCCTCAGCACCATGCCCCATTCTGACCCAACAGGAAAAAAAGGCCACACCCTCATAACCCACAACAGCCTTGGAGTTCTGCCCTCAGGTCTCCTGTCACTGAGGCAATGGGGCCCTGCTCCTCTCCCATCCCACAGGGGCACTCACGGAGAGCCTTCTGGAACTCTGTGTCTCTGGTCCTAGGGAATGCCCAGGAGTCAGTCCACTCCCACTGGCCCGCCCTCCCTCCCAGGCCAGTGAGCTGAGGACAAGGTAGGAGAGGGGAAAGGACACTTGGGGGTGAACCCTCTGGTGG